AATAATTCATTATTAATAAATTAATTAAAAGAAATAATTTTATTAGTTATATTGTCTTTATATTTCTCCAATGTAAAAATTCTTTACATTCAAATTCATCAATTGATTATATTCACACATTGTCTATTACTTTTTTTTGTGCACTATTTTTTTTAATTAAATATCAAAGTTATAATACAAAATAATGATATATATTTATTTATCAAGTATTTTATTAATACCATGAAAAATTTTTAAAAATATAATTAATAAAGCTAATCATATTAATTACTTGAAAGATTTGTTGACAAAGAGACTATTCAAGTCACACAACAATTGAAGTGAGAACAACTTCGCAATATCCTTGTTTGACAATCAGCAGTTAGCGGTTAGCGTTAGCGGATTATATTAGTGAATTTGACCAGCGAATTATATCAATGGTTGGTAAAAAGATATTTGAAAAAAATTAGTTGTTTAGATTAACATGTAAGATGACCTAAGGGTATGATGATATAATAATAATAATAATAATAATAATAATAATAATAATAATAATAATAATAATAATAATAATAATAATAATAATAATAATAATAATAATAATAATAATAATAATTGTTTTAAAAAAATAAAAATATAAAAAATATAATTAAGTCAATCATATTAACTACTTGGGAGATTTATTGACAAAAAGAGTATTCAAATCACACAATAAATTGAAGTGGGAAACTATCTCGCAATGTCATTGTTTGGCAATCAGTAGTTAGCTCTTCAATATTAGTATATACGGAGTATTTAATAATTTATGCCCTAATTTTTATTTTCTCTCCCTTATGTCTTGTATTTGGTTTCAACCATACCTATACAATTATTTTATTGACAACTATAATCAATCTTGACTATATTATCTTGCATTTGTAAACTTAAAATTGCCTATTTAAATACACAAATTTAACATTCAATTATCTATGCATGAACAATTACAATATAATCTTGCACTGATATACTTTAAAATACTTATTTAAAAAAATATTGGGCATTATCTCAATCGCGCAATGCGCGTAAAAAACTAGTTAATTATATAAATATTGTAGACTCAGTTCATGAATTATTACTAAATACATTTTTTTTTCTTTAATTATGTGTAAAGTTTTTTTCTCGAAAGGCATATGCAGCTCGAGCGGCCTCCTGGAAAGCGAGCTTACAAGGATCGTGAGAAATGGAAGGGATACTAGGTTTTGGATGGACAAGTGGGTGCATGGTCAGAGACTATACGATCATATACAACGACCGGTGAGTCTGCCGGAGTTGTATGCGACTGTGGAGAAGTACTGGATCGAGGGACTGACTGGAATTGGGAGATGATTGATGGAGTTCTGGGAAACGAGTGGAAATCCAAGCTCCATGCATACATCCTTCTTGAAGACGATGGAGCAGGCGATGATTGGGGCTGGGGCTTGGAGATGGACGGAAGATTTTCCATTCGCTCGGCATATAACTCCCTGTGCGAAAATAATGCTTTGGCGTGTGATAAAGACTGGATGCGTATTTGGAGGCTTAAACTCCCTAACAAGATGAACCACTTTATGTGGCTTGTTAAGCCGGGGAAGTTAATGTCCAATGTTGAACGTGTTAAACGTGGATTTGCAACTGATTCGTTTTGCCCGTCTTGTGCAGGTGAACAGGAATCCTTGGACCACATTTTCAGATCATGCAAGGAAGTCGAAGGCTTCTGGGAGATGTTGTTGCCCAGGAACGTCGAGCAAGGTCTTTGCTGTAACGTTTTCCAATTATATTATTATTATAACATTAGGATAAGTTATGATAATATTCAGTATTTGATATGTGGTGCAACACTAATAACCTAATAGCTAGACTACCATTATGATGAGAGACAAAATACTCGTGTTATCTATGTAGCAGTCCGGATCGTTCAACCGTCATCGACTCAAGAACTATGACTAGAGGTTAGTACGATCATGTATCACATATTATGATTCATGTGATATACATTTTAGTCTAACAGTTGGTATCAGTTGCCTAAATAATCTCTGCCTAGTTTTTTTTTTTAATTGCTAAATATTTACATATGTTATATACTTTGTTGTATAATTGAGATACATATGTGAATATTCTTGAGTTTGCAATTAAATTGTCTGGGCTGTTGGAAAGTTGGTTTATTCCGCATTAAGAAATTATAAATAAATAAAAGCAATTTTGGATATTTGGTTTTTTGCTCACCTACGCCATTCTTTATTAATTCCGTTTGCCAATTTTATGATGAAGATGACTTAAAGTTATTGGGTCGGGTCTGGCCATTTGGGCCATACCTGGGTTCATATAAATAAATAAATAAATTATTATTCAAATTGGGCCTGTTTTGGTTTTGGGCCAAATCTGAATTGATATTTGGGCTACATCAATTCATTCAGTTTAATATCTTCATCATATTTGGATTTCTTCAAATCAAATTATCTAATTAATTTTTTTTAATTAAGTCTATTATTAAATTATTATTCAACTTTGAATAATTATTCAGTTTTAATTTTCAGTTGAATTTTAGTTTAATAATGTTTTCAGATTAAATTGTTTAAGTATTGCAATTTAATTGTGGAGTATTTATGAGTAATATGCATAATATGAGCATGCTATATATCTCTTTATTGCAATAATTATTTGACTGTAATAATTATGCCTGTAGAAAAGCGTGTTCATTAAGAATAAATTTAGAGCTTTTAGGTCTGAATAATATGCTTTGCATGATATAGTGCCTTTTAGGTGAATTAGTGTCTTTCAGGTTAGATTACGCATATTATTACTCCACTCATGCTTTTATAAAGTTTCTAAAGCACATAAAGTACATAAACAATTCGTAGTTTACTCTATTTAAAACCTTATCCATAGGTGAAACTACACTCTTTCTCTCAAACGATTTTACTTCAAAAATGAGAACGCATGAATTAGGGAAATTTCTTGAGGAAGAATACTAGTTCTATGGCCCTGGCTTAAAAGCCTTGTTGCTACTAGTCCCCTTGCGACACTACTCTGTCTAAGGAGTTGGTTTTAACCGAGCATCGTCTCGACCAACTTTCCTGAGATTATACCTAAGGATTGTCTATCATATTTTGGTTTAATCTGTTTGTTTATTAGGTTTTCTTGCTAATGTGATTATGTTCTTTGGTTAATTAAAGAGTAGCCACAATATCTTTAATTTATCAAAATTACATATTAAGTTTTACTCACATAAAGTTAAGGCAAGAATATTGTAGTTATCAAAATTTAGCGCACGGGTAATTTTGTTATATTTGTAGGGTTAATTAGGATGAAGTACCATACTATGATCATAATTTGCCTACAAGGATTATGTATCGACATATAGTTTTGGTAGTTTTGTCATTAAGGGTGGAAAAAACTAAAATCGCACCCATTCCGTTTCCACCATTCATTTTTGATAAATTCATTATGAGTAAAAATTTAGCCCACAGGCAATTTTTATGGCATCCGAATTCATTTTTGCATAATTTTACATTGGTAATATTATGTACTTCAGTGTCTCTCTCCATTTTGTGCCTCAAAAAATACCAACCAATCATTCAATATTATTCTTTACAACAACTCTTTCTGTCACCCAAAACCAAACTATTAATGTTCTTATCTTAACTACGATAATCACAAGGAGTAGAAAGATGTTATTCTCCTGCAATTAAGATTATTAGAGTTGGATTACGCTGTTCTCAATGAGGAACCCCCTGAGGTTATTGAAGAAAGCACTGGCGAAGCCAAGCAGCTTCACGCACGATGGGAGAAATCCAATGGATTATGTGTGCTCTTCATTAAGTCAAGAATTTCCACTAAAATTTGTTATTGCATTGAGGACATTAAGAAAGCTAAACATTTGCTCAAAGCTATCGATGATAACTTCATTGAATCAAAGAAAGTTTTGGCAATAACTCTCTTAAAACAGTGAGAAGCATACCTCTGTGTAGCTCTCTTTCTTTCTGTGTGTCTTTAGGGTTAGTCAACCACACCTTAAATACAAGCTGGTTCTAAACTAATATGGTATGCCGATATTTAGTTTCCTAAAATATGGGATACTCAATCACACAGAATATTCTATAACACTCCCCCTCAAGTTGGAGCAAAGATATTGATCATGCCCAACTTGTTACACAAATAACTGACTCGGGTTCTAGTAAGGGCCTTTGTGAATAAGTCCCCGAGTTGTTCTCCTGTCTTCACAAATCTTGTGGAGATTATCCCTTGTTGTATCTTCTCACGTACAAAGTGACAGTCAATCTCTATGTGCCTAGTTCGTTCATGGAACACCGGGTTTGATGCAATATGAAGAGCAACTTGGTTATCACACCATATCTTTGCAGGAATTGGAGCTTTGAAACCAGACTCATACAAAAGGTTGTGTATCCACATCACTTCACTTGTTGATTGTGCCATTGCTCTATATTCAGACTCTACACTCGAACGAGATACTACATTCTGCTTCTTACTCTTCCAGGAAACCAGATTACCTCCAAAGAAAACACAATATCCAGTTGTTGATCTACGATCCTCTTTGGAACCTGTCCAATCTGAATCCGTAAAACACTCAATCCGAGTGTGACCATGATTCTTATACAAGATTCCGTGTCCCGGGGCTCCCTTTAAGTAACTCAAGATGTGCTCTACAGCTGCCCAGTGATCAATAGTTGGAGATGACATGTACTGACTCAAAACGCTAACTGGGTATGCAATATCTGGACGGGTTATGGTCAAGTTGTTTAGCTTCCCAACCAATCTCCTATACCTCTCAAGATCTTCAAACAATTCCTCCTTTTTGACAATTGCAAGTTCAGTATCATGGGAATATTGCATGGTTTAGTACCTAGTTTTCCCGTTTCAGAGAGTAAGTCAATAACATATTTTCGTTGAGATAGTAATATACCTGTTTTGTTCCTCATAACTTCGATACCCAGTAAATACTTCAGTGGTCCCAAATCTTTTGTTTGGAATTGACTATGAAGAAATCACTTGAGAGACAAAATCCCTTCGGTGTCGTTCCCTGTAATGACAATGTCATCTACATAAACCACCAACCAGATGATACCTGTTTTGGACCACTTGTAGAACATGGAATGATCCGATTTGCCTTTCACCATCCCAAAATTTTCAACAACTTGACTAAATTTTTCAAACCATGCACGTGGACTTTGTTTCAGCCCATACAACGATCGCCGAAGACGACATACTTTCCCAGACTCCCCCTGAGCAACAAACCCAGGAGGCTGCTCCATGTACACCTCTTCATGAAGATCCCCATGCAAAAAGGCGTTCTTGATACCAAGCTGATGCAAAGGCCAATCATGAATGGCAGCCATTGAGATGAGTAACCTGACAGAAGTAAGCTTAGCCACAGGTGAAAAAGTATCAGAATAATCAACTCTATAAGTTTGGGCATATCGCTTAGCCACAATACGAGCTTTCAATCGAGCCACAAACCCATCAGAATTAACTTTGACAGTAAACACCCATTTACAACCAATAGGTCTTTTACCTGCAGGCATAGTGACCAACTCCCAAGTACCGTTGTGATCCAAAGCGTTCATCTCCTCAATCATGGCATTTCGCCACCCAGGATGGGACAAGGCGTCCCTAACAGTCTTAGGAATGGAAATAGAATTAAGGGAAGCAATGAAAGAACACGATGCAGGTGACAGCCTATCATATGATGCAATAGAGGATATAGGATAAGTACAACTACAACTACGTTTACCTTTCCGGGTAGCAATCGGACGTTCATCAACTAAGACTGGATTAGATGACACAGAGGTGGTTTCAGGGCATGGAGTTGGTACCGAATCTGGAAGGGGAGCGGGAGGCGGTGCCGGTACGAGTGTGTCAGGCCGAGGTCGACGAGAATACACATGTAAGACAGGAGGGGTAGGAACAGGGGAAGGAATAGAGGAAGGAATATACGCCGTGACCGCATACATCAATATATCATCCTCCTCTCCCTTACGAACAGCATATGGGGGTGAAGGAAAGAAAGGGACGTCCACATGAAAGGCAACATCAATGGAAACAAGATACCTTCCAAGCTCAGGAAAGTAACACCTATACCCTTTTTGCACGTGGGAATATCCAAGAAGCACACACTTCAAAGACTTGGATCTAACTTGGTGATATGGGGACGGACATCCCGAACAAAGCATGCACAGCCAAATATACACGGGTCAACATGGAACAAAGGCTTTGAAGGAAACAAAGTGTGGAAAGGTGTTTTCCCACCCAAGACCGCAGAGGGTATCCGATTGATCAAGAAACAGTATGTGGAAACGGCATCAGCCCAAAACTGCTTGGGGACCCCTATTTGAAACATCAAGGCTCTTGCAGTTTCAAGCAGATGCCGATTTTTGCGCTCAGCGACCCCATTCTAGGAAGGTGTATCAACATAAGAGGACTGATGTAACATCCCCTTCTTACGCATATAAGAGACAAAAGGGAACGAAAAATATTCTTTAGCATTGTCACTACGTAAAATTTTGACAGGAACACCAAATTGAGTCTGAATTTCAACGCAGAATCCACAAAACACTTCAAAAAGTTCAGAACGAGACTTCATTAGATATAACCATGTCATTCGAGAAAAATCATCAACAAACGTAACAAAATACTTAAAACCAAGTTTGGAGGTCACAGAACACGGACCCCAAATATCAGAATGCACTAACTCAAAAGGAGCACACACTCGTTTGTAAATTCAAAGACTCAAAGGCACATGATGGTGCTTGGACAACTGACACAACTCACAATGTAAAGAAGACAAACTTGAAAACTGCGGACACAATTTCTTCAACAAGGGTAGGAAAGGATGCCCCAAACGACAATGAGCTTCTACTAGAGTGACAACACTCGAACAAGCAATAGGCTCCCACCTCGTGGTGTCAAGAATGTAGAGGCCCCCAGACTCGCGCCCCTTACCAATAACCCTCTTCGTCAAAAGATCCTGAAACAGACAATAATCAGGGAAGAACGTAACAGAACAGTTTAAAGTACGGGTAAGTTGGCTGACCGAAATTAAGTTGAACGAAAAGTTAGGTAGATGCAAGACAGAAGACAAGGGGAGCGAAGGGATGGACGTAATGGTACCGGACCCAAGAACATGGGAGGTAGAACCATCTGCTAAGGTGACGGGGGAACTATGTGGGCGAGAAGAAAGCATGGAAAATATACTAGAGTTACCTGTCATATGATCCATGGCACCCAAGTCTATAACCCACTTAGAGGAGGATGAGAGAAGGCACGTAGTTGCATTACCTGAGTCAGCAACAGCAGTGACTGAAGAGGATGAACGCTTTAAAGATTCTTGATACTGAGAGAACTTGGCAAACTCGTCAGCAGATAAAGTGATCATCTTGGAAGACGCCTCAATTGTGGATGCAGCATTAGCAATCGGATTTCCTCGCTCCCTCAACCATCTCCTACAGTCCCTTTTTATGTGGCTAGGCTTATGGAAATAATGATACACAATACCACCAGAAGTGTATCCCTGGGAATTTTTCCCATTCCCACTGCGAGGATGACAGCCAACGAGAGCATTGTTTGATGGGATGGTAGCCTCAGGCATACTTGGTTGTGATTGCACTGATCGACTTAGACGTGGGAAAACATTAGCAAGAGAAGGGATTGCAGAGCTACTAAGAATTGCAGACCTCGCTGTGTCAAACTCAGAAGGGAGACCTGCCAAAAAACTCATAACAACCAATTGTTCACGTTGGTTTTGCTGATCTTTAATGTCAGCAATGAATGGCATAAGCTAATTAAGTGCCTCATAAGTCTTCTTAAATTCCATAAAGTATGCAGGGAGAGACAAATCATGTTTTTCGGCACGGAAAAAGGACTTACAAACATCATAAACACGAGTGATATTCCCCTTCCCAGCGTATAAGTATTCCAAATACTCCATCAACTCCTTAACAGAGGTACAATGACTAATGAACCCAACAATACCCTCATCAATGGAATTACGGATTTGCAGGAACAAACGTGCATCATCTCGTACCCAAGTAGCATCTTGGTCAGCCAAAGGTTTGGATAGGTAGTCACTCTTATCCAAACTAGTAAGATAAAGTTTAATGACACGAATCCATTCCAAGTAATTAGAGTCATTAAGTTTACAATCCGTGATTTTATAATTAATAGGAACTATATCAGTGACAACCACAGACTTATTTTCAGCCATACCCACAAATATATGACCGCAAATAGATCAGAAATCACACAAAAAATGGAGCCGAAGGGTTACGAAACAACCTGACCTTTGAACCGAAAATACCGACGCGAAACTGGTCCAAACTGAGCCCAGAACCGAGACCCCCGAACTCAGGCGACCCTGGGAATACTGACCGGAAAAAATTACGGTCGCCGGAGACTCCTCACGAGCCGACGCGTGGCGGCGGTGGCAGCGAATGACGGTGGCGCGTGAAGCTCACGGTGCAGGTCGGATCGGCCTGAAATTTTCCAGGCAAGGTCGCCGGACGACGGCGAGTGGCGGTGGACTGGCGGTGACGACAAGAGACGCCGGAAAAAAAAAAAAAAAAAAACTATTGCCCTGGCTTTGTTACCATGTTAAAACAGTGAGAAGCATACCTCTGTGTAGCTCTCTCTCTTTCTGTATGTCTTTAGAATTAGTCAACCACACCTTAAATACAAGGTGGTTCTAAACTGATATGGTATGCCAATATTTAGTTTCCTAAAATATGGGATACTCAATCACACAAAATATTCTATAACAAACTCTAATAATGAAGTTTAGAAATTTGCGTCTTTCCACTGTCAAGGGAACGCGTGAGCACATCGTGCAAGTAAGGGACATTGCGGCTCAATTAAAGAAGTTGGAAATCATTGTACCGGATGCTTTTTTGGTGCGTTTTGCACTTGGTACCAAGGCCGTCCCTGGGCAAGTCTGCCCAGGGTAGGCACACAGGGCCCCTTAATTAAAAAAAAAAAAAAAAAAAACATAGTATGATAGTGTATATATATGTAGTTTAGGCTTCAAGGCCTTCAACGCGGAAAACTACAAATTAAACAAAGTCCAAAGCTGATGAAGACTACAAATTAAACAAAGCCCAAAGCTAATGAACCTTTTTTCAAAAAAAATTAAGCCGACATACACAATAACGGCAAATTATGGTCCACACAATGTTACGTGGACCATAAAAAAGTACATTTTTAATACACTAAATGTACATTATTTTTGTACTGAATGTACATTATACAATATAATATATACTCAGAACAAAAATAATGTACATTCCCTGAATACAATGTACATTATTTTACAGTAGACAAAATATGGTCCACACAATAATGATTGCACAATAACAAATACCTATTAAATATTACTATATTAGCCTAAATGCCTAAGAGGGATGAACAAATACCTTTTTTCTTGCATTTGTTTAGAAGCAGTTCTTAAGAAAGATGAACAGCGTGGTGATATTGACGGAAATGAATTGTATATTGAGCTAAAATTGCTTAGAGAGATTTTATCAAAAGAAAATATAGGAGCAGTGAGTATATTGAATTCATTGAAACAGTTGGGTTGTTTTTCAAATGCTTCTATTGCATATCGAATATTATTGACTATCCCAATTACTGTTGCCTCTGTAGAAAGGAGTTTTTCAAAGTTGAAATTGTTGAAATCGTACTTACGATCAAGTATGTTGCAAGAGAGACTTAATGGATTAGCTTTAATCTCTATTGAAAATGACAATTTGGAAGAAGTTGATATCAAAAGTTTGGTGGATGATTTTGCGTCTAAATGTGCACGACGCATGTCACTTTTTAAATGAAATTTTAGATGTATTTTTTTATACAATATTTATATTTTAAATTTTTTAAAACAACTTATTGAACAACTATTATTTATATATAAAAATTAGTTGAAAAAGGGGGCCAAATCAAAATATTGTACAGGACCCCAATTTTTATTGGAACGGCCCTGCTTGATACCCTCCCCCAGGAGTACAATCCTTTTAAGATTTCCTACATCACACATAAAGTGGACTGGCCTATCAATGAGTTGATAACCAGGTGTGTAATGGAGGGACGGAGGCTTGTGGCTAAGCTTGGGTATGTTCCATCTTCTTTTGTATGTTTCAAATCTAATATGTCAGAAGTTAATACTAATTCTTGGTGGGTTGACTCTGGTTCAACAATCCACATTGCAAACTCTTTGTATGATATGACAAAACTGAGACAGCCGATGGGAACTAAGTGTAACATCTTCTCTGGAAACAAGATTGCATCACCAGTAGAAGCTGTCGGAGTTTGCACTTTAGTTTTGGACAATGGTTTTGTATTGACGTTAGAAAAGACATTTTATGTTCCTAGTTTTTCTAGGAACTTAGTTTCAGTTTCTAGACTTGTACCCTTCGGATATTCATTTGAATTTAATACCAATGACTTCAAGTTATTTTGTAATTCTACTTGTGTTGGTACTGGTACATTGTCTGATGGTCTTTTCCGTCTTAACTTAAAGAATGATTCAGTTTACAATTCTTTACATGTTCAAAATGGCACCAAACGGTGCATAATGAAAATTCCTCAATGTTGTGGCATCGGAGATTAGGACATATCTCCCTTGAGCGTATTAAAAGGTTGGTAAAGGATGGAGTACTTTCTACTCTAGGCTATACTGACTTTGAGACTTGCATTGACTGCATTAAGGGTAAGCAGACAAACAAGTCAAAGAGAGGTGCCTATAAAAGTTCAACGTTGTTGGAAATTATTCATACTGACATATGTTGTCTTGATATGACAATACCTGGTCAGAAATATTTCATCACCTTCATTGATGACTTTTTAAGATTTTCCTATGTGTATTTACTTCATCATAAACATGAAGCATTGGATGCCTTTAAATCATTTAAAGCTGAAGTTGAAAACCAATGTAACAAGAAAATACACATAGTTAGGTCTGATAGAGGTGGTGAATACTATGGTAGTTATACTGAGAATGGACAAGCACCTGGTCCATTTGCTAAGTTTCTTCAGTAGCATGGGATTGTTGCCCAATAGACCATGCCTGGTTCTCCGGACCAAAATGGTGTAGCTGAAAGAAGAAACTGGACCCTTCTGGATATGGTGCGGAGCATACTTAGCAACTCTAAACTTCCGAAGTCATTGTGGGATGAAGCACTTAAGACGGCAACATATATAATAAACCGTGTTCCAACCAAGGCTGTCCCTAAGACACCGTTTGAGTTATTCAAAGGTTGAAAACTGAGTTTGCAACATATGCGTGTTTGGGGATGTCCGTCTATGGTGAGGATATATAACCCACACGGGAAGAAACTTGACCCAAGGATGATTAATGCTTTCTTTATTAGGTATGCACAATCTTCTAAGGGTTATAGGTTCTATTGTCCATCTCATACTACTAGGATAGTGGAATCAAGGAATGCTAAATTTATTGAAGATGACTCGATTAGTGGGAGTGATCGGTTTAAGGACTTAGTTCCTTCCTTCGATCATACTAACTCTCAACCTTCTACGTCATCTGGTGGGGTTGTACTTATTTGCAGTGCTCCTTCAGTTCTGCCTGCAGATATACCACCTACTGTTGATATTCCACAAACTGTTGAGACTCAGCCTTTAGAAAAACCAGTTCAGCACTTACAACAACCGCCTGAACTAGATTTCGAACCAATGGTTGAACCAACTCAGGATATACAGCAAAGTTCTGAGCCGATGCAGACTGAACCAATTCAAGAACTGCCACCAATTCCTGAAGAGGTAGTTGCCCCGCAGACTGTACAAGGCGATGGGGGTCCAACCTTAAGACGGTATGCTCAGATAAGGTGATCAGCAGTTCCTAGTTATTATGTTTCGTATCTACAAAAATCTAAATCTGACATAGGGACCGAAAATGATCCTGAAACATTTTCTCAAGTCACAAATTGTGCACAGTCTGACTTATGGTTAGAAGCCATGAAGGATGAAATGAATTCCAGGAAAGACAATGGAGTTTGGGATCTTGTTGAGTTGCCTAATGGGCCAAGGCCATTGGTTGTAAATGGGTCTTTAAGGCTAAAAGAAACTCATTAGGCAACATTGAGAGATACAAGACCCGACTTTTTGCCAAGGGATTTACACAAAAAAATAAGGAATCGATTAAAAGGAGACCTTTTCTCTTGTATCAAAGAAAGATTCACTTGGGATCATTCTAGCATTAGTTGCACATTTGTAATCTTGAGTTGCAACAAAGGGATGTGAAAACCGTTTTCCTTAATGGTGATCTAGAAGAGGAGGTTTATATGAAACAACTAGAAGGTTTCTCTTCTAGGGGTGGTGAGCATTTAGTATATAAGCTTAAGAAATTCATATACTGTTTAAAACAAACATCCCGTCAATGGTATATCAAGTTCGATGGGGTAGTTTCTTCATTTGGTTTTGTTGAAAATCCCTCAAATAACTGTATATACCAGAAGGTGAGTGGGAGTAAAATTTTCTTTCTTGTTTTATATGTGGATGACATCTTACTTGCCACAAATGATAAGGGGATGCTTCGTGATGTGAAACAGTTTCTTTTTAAGAACTTTGATATGAAAGATATGGGTGATGCCTCTTATGTTATTGGCATTAAAATCCATAGAGATAGGTCTTGGGATATATTGGGTTTATCTCAAGAAACCTATATAAACAAAGTTTTAGAGAGATTTCATATGCAAAATTGTTCACCTAACGTTGCTCCCATAGTTAAGGGGGATAAATTCAGTTTGGACCAATGTTCGAAAAATGACTTGGAGAAAGAATCCATGGAGAACATCCCATATGCTACAGCGGTTGGATGTCTTGAATATATTCAAGTCTGTACGAGGCTGGATATTGCTTTTGCGGTTGGAATGCTTGGGCGTTACCAACACAATCCGGGGTTAGACCATTAGAGAGCTGTAAAGAGGCTTCTAAGGTATCTAAGAGGAACCAAAGGTTACAAGCTTGGGTTTAGGCATACGGACAATTTAGATGTTGTCAGTTATTCAGACGCAGACTTCGATGGCTGTGTTGATTCTCGAAAATCAACTTCAGGGTGCGTCTTTATCATGGCTGGTGGGGCTATCTCATGGAGAAGTGTTTAACAGTCCTAAATAGCTACTTCTACCATGGAAGCCGAGTTCGAGGCTACTTCACAGGGTGTTTGGCTAAAGAATTTTATCTCTAGGCTTAAAATTATGATTA